GGTGTTGTGTATTTGGTTTTGTGTGTTTTAAATGTGTTTACTATGTGACATTGGCATAGATAAACATACAGACAAAAACAAATATCCTACCGCAAAAAGTGACCTATTTACTGTACCATACTTACGATGCTAATCTCGAAGACTGCATGGGGTGATGTACTCCGCTTTTATTATTACACGCTTTCTTTTAACTCACTCTGTTGTTGTTGTATCCTCAAAATCTTGTAACTCAATTTTAACCCACTTCCCAATGTGGTATCGACTGCAAACTTGGTATACTTATGTCATACTGATGACAAGACTATATTCTATCATAAAAACATATTTTTTACTTTTTAGTACATTTCATAAAAGCGTGTTTTAAAAAAAATATTATTTTGTACAGCTGCTCAATGATATGCACATGCACCTTTGGGTTTAAAACACAAACAACAATCCCCGTAATTAATCGGCTCCAATGAACCAATAATCTGTTTTTTTTAATGTAGATTTCTACGTGAAAGTTTATTCCTAATAAGGGCAGCAGTTAACTTCAGAGGTGGTCTGGGCCACTACCGAACCGCCCAAATGTTAACGTGCTAAATATAAACAGCGTTGGCCATGCTTATCGGTCAATGAATACCCATTGGGAATTGTTTTAACAGTTAAATATGCAGTGGTGGGGGGCAGGTGCGTCCCCTTGTGCCGTAAGAGTTCATTTATAAGTTGCCGCTCAGCGTTATAGAAGTTGGCTCTCCGCAGCTTGGTAGCCCACAGTGCTGTCTACAACCTGATTGCAAAGACATAAATAATCTCAATACTGTGCTCTTACAAAACTTATTATTGTTGCATGGCTGCACGCAGGTACTAGATTTCAGTACAGAGTGACAATAACCAACACGGAGTAAACTCATCTTTGTATCGCTGAAATGGGGGGATGCTTTCGCAGGATGCAATTGCCCTCAATTATTCACCAATCTGAATGCCTCTTATCGACAGGAATAATTGTGGATGAACGTGGATAGTTTGTAGGGGAAAATATAGCGGACAAGAGGAGTTTCGCTGTAGAAATTTATTGCTCCATAAACATAGTATCTCAATTACGTTTCCTATCTGCTGCGGCTGAGTCTGTTATTTTTTATTTCATCCTATCCCTCGTTTCCTTCATCTCAACAACCCATTTTCGTAAAAAAATAATCAAAAGTTCACGAGCCATGTTCTATCCAATGCTGGATGAAGACTTCACCACATTGTCCACATCCCCCGCAGTCTTAAGATGCCGCAGTCCATCTCACTCCCACGTGTGAGCTAATCTTACCGCTTCATTTCCGCGGCGGTCATCCTCTTGGGCATGATCCCTTCCATGGCTGCCACTGAGTCACCTGTCTTTTCCATCGACCATCATGCCTTCCGGTGATGTCAGGCACAAACATTTCACTTGGTACTTTCCTTTAGAGTATTGGTGTCAACGCATAAAATTTGGCAGCCAATGTTTTTGGCCAATAATAACTACCGCATTAAACTTTACGGCGAGCTGAAATACTAATTGGCGTGTTACACTCTTGTGCACGTGAAATATGAATCTCTGTCGCTGTACAGGGTGGTGGAATGATTTAACAGAACGTTACGTGGCTTGACCCAAAAATCCATTACGATACATTTTCAATGTTGAAATTAACCTGTATAAATCCGTGTCCCTCTTCCGACCTTTCAGTGTGATTCCCAGCATGCACTCCCTATGCTTCTTGGTGATGTTTACACCTTCTGCTCAATTATTTTGTCAGGCTGCTTGTTTACAATCCAAATGGCACAGCGGAGACAATGTGCACCGATTGAAAACTTTCCCCCTTTAGGTATATTGTAATTTTGAACATTATGACCAAATTTAAATTAAACTAAAATAGAGGGTGTATAAAAAACACTATTCAAGCAACATCAGTATACATACGTTTAGACTTACATTAAAATGATGTAATTTGTTATGTGTAGTGACTAACTCGGAGACGAATACAAGCTGGAGGCCCTTTCTTTATTAACCAGCACCATCGGGGTCAACACTTTTATAAGAAGTCCGTCTGTGATCAGCGACGTTACTCAGTCAGGACAGGTGGTAGGCTGCCTGACCGAGATAGTGAAGACGGAGACGACGACGAGAAGGATGAAGACGACGAGAAGAAAGGTGAAGAACGACGAGCAGAAGAACGGTGAAGACTTCAGCATCATGACGGGGATCCCACTCCAAACGACAGCCCCGAGGTCCCCCACAGGGGCCTCTCTTATACTCTCAGCTCCGCCCCCGGCCACGCCCCCTTTCTAGAACCTTCCCGCGGATTCCTGGTGTGCCCCCTCTGTGACCTTTCCCCCCCTAGAGCCCCCTCTGGTGTATCACGTGGCCTGCTGCTGTCAGGGCTGCTGTAAGCCGCAGATTCCCTTCCCCGCCAGCAGACAGCGCTATGCTGCTACATTACTTATTCCATGCCACTAGATGTGTACAGTCATACCCCGGCTTCCGTGCGACGAATATTGAAACGACGTAAATTAAAGCAATTTACGGGGGTAGGTGGAGGCGAAGGTTGAGGATGGACGATGCTGTCAGCGACGTTAGTGTAGGGGTTGAGGCGACGCATATCTGGACGTGGTGTTAATAATGAAGTGACGACGTGAAAGGGGGTGGGGGGAGATGTTACTCGGGATGTTACTGTACTGCAAAGGGGTTTGGGGCTGTGCTGGATGGATGTAATGTGTTTATCTCCAATTATCATGTGATTTCGTTTGACCAATTATGAGAGATTCAGTTCTAAGTGAGTGAGCCATTGGCTTGCTTTGCCCGATAGATGGTGCATTTCAGGAACGACGCCTTCAAATGAATTTATGTTGCAGCGCGAAGGGTGTTATGGTCTATGGCAGCATGGCGGTGGTGGACTCGCCGATGAGCTGTGTGTTGTGGAACCCACGCAGTGTCCAAGTTCTGGGGTCGCTGATCAGATATTTGTATCATTCGGCGGGACCCTGGGGTCCCGCAAAAATCAGGTCAATAATTATTATTTTTCAGTCCGCCCACTCGTGATCCCGACAGCAACGCGCCGCCCACCCAGACTCTTGCCAACAAGCGCCAGCAGGCGGCGATCGACACGATGGGCGCCACCCCACCGGCCAAACGCGAGCCTCGGGGGGCGTCCGCCGCAGTCGCGCGGCGACGACGCCCTCCGGTCAGCCGTCGATCCTCAGCTTCTTTGCCAAGGCGAGCCCGCCCCCCAGGCAGTGAATTTAACGTGTTTATGTAATTTTACAACTTTTTACGAAACTTAGTTCCCCGAGTAGCTCTCGACGAGGCCAATCGATTGACCACTAGTTTTGTTGTCGGTAAGGCGAGACTCGTGTCACTACGCGGTTTTTCCCACCCCGGGGCAGTGATGGGACCCCGGGGTCCCGGCAATTGCTTCATTTGTTGGGCACGTTAAGTGAAGCACATGAATTGGTCCACGCCAACGTTTTACACTAATTTGCAGAGGGGGTGGGGGGCCAGGACCACTTTTGCCGATAAGACGTCACCAGTGTGAGGGCCACCACACATGAAAAAAAACCCCTTTGGGTTTGACAGCACGATGATGATGGGGTGTTTCTAATTCGTATATTGTCGGGGGGGAAGGGGGGGTCGCTTGTCAGCAGCCACACTAAAGGCCACCAGAGGCCGCTAGTGGCCATCGGGCCTTGCAATGAAGAACATTTGGTCCACGCCTTTTCGATTCTGAAATTCGCGTCAAGTCGAGTTTGTGCCACGTATTTTTTTTTATATGGCTGAGTTCAGGACCCAGGGATGTTGTTCAGATCGCCGTTAATTGGCAAGAGGTTTGGGTCAACTTCTTATCGGTACAGTTCACTGATTGTTGCAGCATGGTAGTGAATAACTGGTGGGGCAATATTTGACAGCACAGGCAGCTATTGCAATGGTATATAGTTTAAGTTCATGTGATAGTCCGCATCACGATGTTCCATTGGGTATTCATGAGTCGACAGTGGTGGGATTTTGCCCAAACGGGGGGCGCAGTTCTCTGTACGCCAGGGCAATAGCTGATGTTCGAAGACACTGAGGCATCTGCCCACCAGCTCATACCGGATACATTTTTGAATTAAGTTCACCCTTGTCTTGGGTTTGCCATTAAGACTTTTTTTTAGGTGTACACTAAATTTGAGCGTGCGGTCAAGTGTCACACCAAGATAGGTGGGCCTTGGGTCATGACACCTCGGATTAGCACAGTTGGCTACCGTGCTAATCGGAGGTGCTTCACTCCCCGCTTGTGGTGTTTGTCAAGCGGCCCCATCGAGTTCACCACAAGCTTTGCCTTTACTTGCGGGTTAAAGACGTGCATATTAAAGACATGAGCAAGATTGACACAACCCAGGCATCTCGACAGGGTCCGGGCTTTGTAGTTTAAGCGTGTGAAATTGAGGCTTTCCGTTCACTCTATCCACCGCTGGCGTCTGGCTGGAAATTTGTGAAAAAGAGCTTCATAACTCATCGTATTTCTCCAGGATAAATAAAGATTTTGATTCTGATTCTAAAAGAGACTTTTTAATCAGTGTCAGAGCAACCCCCCCCCGCCCCCCCCCCAGCAGGGATGTGTATGTGTTAGTACAGCGCGTGATTTAACACAATGTCGTGTGCATTTTGTTTGCTTTACGGAACTGGAGGTGTCCTTTCCGTTGGGATGGCAAATATGGTCATGCTGATGGCCACCAGATGGCAACACACCATTTCCCAGCCACTCATGGAAAGAAAAGAGAGGGCATCGTTTTATAAAAGAAAAGGACCAGGCAAGAGTTAAAGATGGGCGTGGTGCGAGTATATAATAAATTAAAAGCTCATGCCCTTCCCCCCTTCTTAAAAAAAGCCACGGGCGATGGGGCCGATGCTGCCCGGAAGAAATAAAAGCAGAGAGAGGAGGGTAAGGAGAGACAGAACGAGGGTGGGTGGCTTGGGGTGCGGTGTCACAGGTGCGCTCACAGTTCCTCATCGCCATGTGGTCTGAACGTCATCCATTAGCATCTCTCCTCCCACCCATCTCAGCTAAAGTCCCCCCTCCCAATCTGCTCTCAAACACAATTGACTCACTCTTGTGTTTCTGAGTAACAGGGGAGGCAACAGGTCTGAATTTCTGGCTTCATTCAGACGCTGTCTGGCGTGAGTTCAGACCGTTCTTTCCTCTCTGTGGTCTTATTCACCACTGGCACCAATTTATTTATCTTGTTCACCAGCCACAGAGAAGATCAACTCAACAGAGAGGGATTGTATTACTCTGAAGTTCATTTTCTGAATTTTACGAGAGTCGTTTGTGTGTTTTAATTATTTTTCAGGATTGCCAAACAAGCCTGAGACTGAAGGTCAGCGGTGTCATTTAAGGTGAGTCCACGTGACGCTTATTATTCTTGTTAATATAACATGACGTTTTTTAAAGGCAGCAATAAGATGTTTTCACTCTCCTTTAACGGCGGGTTTGCTCAGACTGCACTGCAGCATCACCCTCAGTACTAGTCTATTATCATTTGCAATAACACAAGGCAGCACAGGTGTTTGAATGAACTCAGAGTGCATTCGAGTCGTGGTAGGAATTGCATCCAATTACTTGAATGACCCTACAAGAAGTGATCAGTTATTCATAAAAGTGGCAATGGTTGAGATAATGATTATACATCCAGACTTTTCACTGTAATTTTACATTAAAAAAATGCAATACCCAAGACTGCAAGACAGTACATTAATGGATTTTAAAGTGCAAGACTGTACTGTGTCGTCACTTTTAACTTTACAGTGATCTTAGTATCAACGACAAAGATGCAGCCCTGTAATTGCTCGCTCACAAAACTGCTGGCGGAAGGGTCTCCACTCGAGAGAGCTCTTAAGAGAGCCCCTCAGGAGGGTATTTGGCCTACTCTTCCACATCGGCCAGACGTCTTGGAAGAGGTGGGAGCACCCACACTTGACCCCACCCCCCAAGCATCCTGCTGATCTACTAACTGCGGTGGAGTTACCCATTTATGAACCTGGATGAACAGAGGTGGAGTGGTGGAGACGGGGATTTAATAAACTTTCCCATTTGTTAGACTTGCCAAGCAGAGAGATCGAACCGAATTGCAAATCCAGTCCGCCAATACCACAGCAGCACCAGCATCCGTATACATGATCACATTACAATCTAGTTCGTCTGTTTGGTATATACTCACTGCGTGTTGAGTACAATCCATGGTACTGTGGTGTAGAATACAGCACGTGGCATTTTTTGCACCTGCCTACTGAGTAAGCGTCGGTGCATCCGCTTCACTGCCGGGGGAGAGAGTGGTGGTGGTGTGTGGGGTGGGGGAGGAGGAATTGTGGTGAGAGAAAAAAATATTCTCTAGTTTCACTGCTCATACACCCTGGGTGGCTGCAAGTTGGATCCCGTACTCAGCTCGGCTGTACAGGGCTGTTCTTTAGATTGCACTGTGTCCAGGAATACTGCTGTACGTGCTGTGGAAGTAACACTGCCGAGTGGTTGGCAATGAACAGGGGTCGAGCGGATGTACACTAGGTGAGTGCTATGTGCTCTGAACCCGAGCGACATGAGTTAGATTCGTGGCTATGGTTTGCTGTGTGTGAAACCAGTCCTGTGCGCAACTGACATGCGTGGTGAAGTGTGGTCAAGCACCCGATACCGAGTGAGGAGGCATTCCTCCAGCAGTGGATCGAAAAATGGCTTAAATTGCTTTTATTTACTATCATACAGCAATAAAGTGATGTAATATCAAAGGGAGTTGTGGTACTGAAAAGCGAGGCTTGTTATGGCTAGATAATGGAGCCTTTTGACAGTATCAAAGTATGAAAACTAAGACTAGGTTTTACCCTTTATGGAAATAACACAGGTGTTAAGATATTCAAACATTTTAATGCATGTGTTTGAACATCTTAATACATGTTTAATTGCAAGACAGGGTAAAACCTATTCTTATTTTTCATACTTGTTATGGCTGTTTACATAAAGCATCTTTAAGTGACAGCCCTTTGTCATCAGCTGCTTAAGATTAGACACTACAGTATAGTTGCGGGCAATGTCACTCTGGGTGTTTTAATTGCATAGCGACCACCACGTGCTCTTGTGAAGCTGTTAACCCGCGCACATTTCCATAACACGCAGAGCCAACTGGCATCACACATTGTATTCCACCAACGTGTATAACAGCACTCGCTCACTGGTGGACAGTCGTCTCCTTATCGCTCTTCCATTGCTATTATCATGTTTACTCTCCCCTTGAACTTCACTCAATTATTCGTCTACCCATTTCAAGGACTAATGTCCACCTGACGGACTGTCATCCACTCACTACACTGCAGGTCACAACAACTCACTCATTCACTCATAACACTGCAGGTCACACCAACTCACTCATCCACTCACCACACTGCAGGTCACAACAACTCACTCATTCACTCACAACACGGCAGGTCACAACAACTCACTCATCCACTCACCACAATGCAGGTCACACCAACTCACTCATTCACTCACCACAATGCAGGTCACACCAACTCACTCATTCACTCACCACACTGCAGGTCACAACAACTCACTCATCCACTCACCACACTGCAGGTCACAACAACTCACTCATTCATTAACCACACTGTAAGTCACACCAACTCACTCATCCACTCACCACACTGCAGGTCACAACAACTCATGCATCCACTCACCACACTGCAGGTCACAACAACTCACTCATTCACTCACAACACGGCAGGTCACAACAACTCACTCATCCACTCACCACACTGCAGGTCACACCAACTCACTCATTCACTCACAACACTGCAGGTCACAACAACTCACTCATCCACTCACCACACTGCAGGTCACAACAACTCACTCATTCATTAACCACACTGCAAGTCACACCAACTCACTCATCCACTCACCACACTGCAGGTCACACCAACTCACTCATCCACTTACCACACTGCAGGTCACAACAACTCACTCACTCACCACACTGCAGGTCACACCAACTCACTCATCCACTTACCACACTGCAGGTCACATCAACTCACTCATCAACTCAAAACACTACAGGTCACACCAACTCACTAATCCACTCACAACACTGCAGGTCACACCAACTCACTCATCCACTCACCACACTGCAGGTCACACCAACTCACTCATCCACTCACTACACTGCAGGTCACAACAACTCACTCATCAACTCACCACACTGCAGGTCAAACCAACTCACTCATCCACTCACCACGCTGCAGGTCACACCAACTCACTCATTCACTCACCACACTGCAGGTCACACCAACTCACTCATTCACTCACCACACTGCAGGTCACAACAACTCACTCATCCACTCACCACACTGCAGGTCACACCAACTCACCCACTCACCACACTGCAGGTCACAACAACTCACCCACTCACCACACTGCAGGTCACACCAACTCACCCACTCACCACACTGCAGGTCACAACAACTCACTCATCCACTCACCACACTGCAGGTCACACCAACTCACTCATCCACTCACCACACTGCAGGTCACACCAACTCACCCACTCACCACACTGCAGGTCACACCAACTCACCCACTCACCACACTGCAGGTCACAACACTTCTTTCAGCCTGGAGTTACCGTAAGGTGTTTCCTCCACTCTCTTAATCTCTTTTCCCAAGATCTAGGCAACCTTGCTGAATTCGAGAAACGCATTTAGTTATTATCTAGAGTATATATATGTTTGTATCGTGCTGTTTGTTGCTGTCCCGCTCGGCATCATGGGGCCTCCGAGCTTGTACTCAGCAACAACCTTGATAAAAGTAACACACACGGTCGTTGGCTTCAGATGTTTGTGTTTACTTGAGGGGAGAGAATGAACAGCTAGTTTTCGGTAATGGCAGGTGCCAGGCATAGGTGTGGCTTTCAATGCTCTTTCTGGATCCAAGTGCTGTTGCGTGCGATGTACTGTGCTTTACATTTCGAATTGTTTGGCAGCTGAGTGTGTAAGTTACTGTTGCTGCCTGGCATGTTGGGCAACCTGGCATGTTGGGATGCCCTGCCCAGCAGTCAGGGCTTAAGTGCACTCAGGTGTTGGTGGGGGAGCGAGGGGAGGGCTTATGAACCCAGGTGCCTCCGCGCCTGATACTGTGCGCTGTAGCGTGTCGCGTCTGTGTATATTTGGAGTTTGCGTGTCTCTCTCCCCGTGGTCGCGTGGATTTTTCTCTGGGTCCTCCGGTTTTTTTCCCCCTCCACATTTGAGAAACATTCGTTGAGGGTATTTGGCTGCTATAAACATTTCCACATCATTAGCTACTTTGTAGTGCCATCATTTGTGGCCAGGTTGGTTCTGAAAAAGAGCTGTATAGCTCAGCGAGACTTACCTGGTAAACTACTTATTGTAATAATTATAGTAATAATAATAATTTAGTAATTATTATTATAATAACGAGCTAGCCCCGGGCCCTGCGTTTCCAATTCTCGATGAATTTCAAGTTGTACTCAATCACAGCAAACAACGGCTGATGACAGCAGGCACAGATGGTGGCTCAGCGGTGTGGCGAGTACAAATCCTTTTTCGGACGGGGTGGGAGTCGACCGGGCCCATCATCATCATCATTCTGAGGTGGATTAAAATGACCATGAATGTGCAGGGAAGTCACACGGTAGTTGTCCTGCGGAGAAACTCGCTCTTGCCCATAGGAATGTGGAATTCCCACCGCTGACTCGGGGATGTGAATGGGAATTGAGCGTAACAAAGAAGTTGCTTGCACATTTTTTTTACTTTTTGGAGTGGTCACAAAAGAAGGCCCTTTTTGGGGCTTTCTCTCCCCCCCCCCCCCCCTTAAAGCGAATTGCGCTGAATAGGTTTATTTTTATTCCTCGCCCGTGACGTTTCCTTTGCCATAGGGGGCCTTTGGGGACACGGCTACCCCCCCCCCCCCCAACTACGGCCCTTTTAAGTTGCTGCCTCCTTTCAAGGGAATGAAATGTGTGCATCTGTGTGTGTGTGCATGTGTTTGAGAGAGAGAGAGTGAGAACAATTAAGAAAGGGGGTAATGTGTGTCACGTCCATCGCTACGCCTGCATATACCTACTCTCACTTATTATGTTTTTCTGCTTGTAAATGGCCACTGGAATTGGCGTATGCGTGTGCAACGTTACGCTGGAAATAACACGTGCGTCGCGGATGAAGCAATGGCACATTCGTTAGCACGCTGGGGCTATGAAAACATTGACGAGTTTGATTCCCCGCACATTCTACTCTATTTAGGATTCATAGGGCCATATATAGCACTCTTTCCAGGGCGCCATATATGGCTAACACCAGTCGGAATGATATCCGAAACCCTTCTTGACCCCCTCCATTCACAG